TGAAAAGGCTTACATGACAATGTAAATTAAAATACAGGAAATTATTTTAATATAATTGTAGTTTTACTAGTATTAAGGACCTCTATTATCCTAAGATGCAAATGTATATTTTTAAATAAACTTAATTCAAGTGAGGAGCACATCTTTTTGTTTATGAAATTCTAAATATCTTTAAAAGGAAAATTATGATTATCAAGCTGCAAATTAAGAAACTCTAAGAGTTACTGTCGTTTTCAAGTACAAAAAAAACTTTAGATTTCCTTTTAACAAAAATTTCATAATCCATATGCAAAACAGAAACTTAACCCACAGACCTCAAAGTATCTTGTCATGCTTTCAATACAGCAAACAGCATGCCATTTAGAATGGAAAAAAAAATTAGCAGAAGAAATACCTTTTTTACAACTGAAGACACTGCTATCTCTCACAGTAATTTATGTGAAAAATATCTACAAATTCATGAAAAATTTCATGAATTCAGTAATTTATGAAAAAAATCTACAAGTCTATAATTAAATTATATAATCCTATAATTAATTACAATTATTGAATTGTAATACATAAGAAAGCTATTCCAAAAAATCATACTGTGAATTATTTAATTAAGTAACTACTAAACCTCTATCTTTTCTAAAAGTACATGTTTATATTAAAATTCATGATAAAAAGAAACTTCCATGTTATAAACAATGATAACACAATATTTACACAGCATTTCCTTCAAGGAAGGAGAAACCTTATATAAATACATGTTGTGTTTTTACAAAGGAAGCAATAAATTAAGTAATAATCCTGCCTTACAATTGAAAACAACCAGCAAAATCTCTTTTCTGTAGCTAAACTCCCTCATAGTGCCACATCAAATAATTCCTCCTGCAACCAAAGTCTGTTATGATCAGTTGCTTTTACTGGTAGAGCTACAATACAAAATCCTTGCCAATATACTCTCATTGTAACCTTATTATAATTTACCCATCTTGCTAACAGTATCCATCCGATACTTGTTTGAAGTCAACTATAGGATCAGTATACAAAATACAGGCATTTAACAATAAAAATATTCATTTTACTTCACATTACATTGGTAATTCTTCACCAAACTTCCACAATCCACCTGCGTAGTAGAAATGGATCTCTACTTTTGGGTAACAAAAGCAGAAAAATTACAGTCACAGTTGTGTTGAAGAAGTCCTGTATTTTACTGCATGCTTACACTTTACACTGCAAAACTTTTAATTCTTTGGCCAGGGTATGTGAGAAATAGCACCTAAAAATCAAGTATTAGTATTCTCATATTATATAGGAAGAAAGAACGAACTGGAAAAAGGAAATAAAATATACTGACTAAGACAAGGGTATTGTGACCAGTAGGAAGTATTCTGTTGGGAAGTTTCTTTAGTTCTCTTCCTTTCTTTTCCATCATAAAAAGCATTTATTTCACTATTTCACCTTACATTTCTAATAAATTGGAAAATTCATTTTAGAGATAATATGAGAGGTTTCCAACCTCTAACAACTCACTGAGTGTCCTAAATGAATTTTATTTACTTTCTTATTAAATGAACAGAATGAAGTCTTGGTGATTATTTTTAAATTCCTATCTTTCCACATATGTTTATGAATCATCCTAAATTTTCACATGACATTTTCATCATTAATATATTGGAATAATAAAGCCCTAAACTTACAACTCCAGAAATATTACACTTCAAATGACTAATTCATATTCCACGATCAACATAATTAACAACTTAATAAAAAACAGCTTTCTGTCATTTATTCTTCCCCCCAAAAAGTTTCTATTTAAAAATGTGTTAGATTCTTTAAATACATGCAAAGAAATTTTAAACCTAAATTTTTTATTCCAAAAATCATTGCAGTTACAAGGTCTTAAGTGGATTTGGGAATATACCATTTCAGCATTACTTCTAGTGACTCTAAGCTTAATCATAAAGTTCTCCAAAATAATATTTACACACTGAGACTTCATCTAAGATTTTCACAGCCCTGAAGAGTTAAATTTCCTTTTTACCTCAAAAGAAATATCTCCCTTCCTTTCTTAGTCTACTGTATGTCTAAAGAATCCCATCTGTTAAGAACTGATTCAGCACACATTGCTACTGCTGCAGAGTCCAAACTGGTTATACATTCAAATCAGTTTCCAGATTGTGAAAGCCCTACTGCCTCTATTAGGAGAAAACATATTCAGTAAGCATACAAAAACTTACTAAAATAGCCTAATACCATCTAATGTTAACATGGTTACACCAAAATACCCTAAAATGTATTCCTTTAAATATATAGAAATCCAGTACCTGCTATCATACTAACATTTTGAGATTTCATCTCTTTTCTTTAAAAAAAAAAAAAGAGGCAAGAACTGACCTCCTATTTGCACCTAGAGAAAATTAAAACTCCCAAGAAAACTGTATTTCTAATACTGCTTGAAAATAATTTGGTTTTATCAATGTGGTGACATTTCCCCAAACTTATATTGACTTTTGTGGGTTTATCTGTAGGGTACATAAAATAGAAAGAGGGGTCTTGTATTTAAATAGCAGTAAATATGACAAACTAAATACAGATAATCTCCTATCTTTGGCTTGACACACTAGCAAAAAGCAAAAAAGCTTCAACTTTTCCGTGAATGTAAGAGGTTCATAAACTGTAGACATTATCTAATCCAAGTCTCAGATCATCACTGATGTAGCTGCAGCTTGCTTTCAGTTTCCCAATAGATCAAATAAAAATAATAGCTTAGCTGAAAAAAAATCAGACCGCATGGGTGCTATAAAATCCCTTTGTAAGCATATTTTTATATTCCTGTGACTCCACACCAAATACAAGACTCAACTGATTGCTCTGGATTCAAGCCTTGCCTTCCAAAACCCAACATCACAGTATGTCAAAGACTCGGTATTGCAGAGGAAACTATTCACAAAGCTTTGCTGCACCAAAAAACTCCATTTGCCAAGCACCAAAAAGGAACTACTCTTGACTATCACCAATTTATGACTCTCCCCTCCGTATCTCTTTCCGCGGCTTCCCTTGACATCCTTCTTAGCCTCTCTGTAGACAGCGCAAAACATTAAGTCATACTCAGTTCTGCAGTAACTCTTTCCTATCAGGAAAGGAACCCCAACCCAGGGCTGCGCTTCCAACCTTTCCTTCAGTCCTTCTCCACCTGCCCCGCTCCTGAAGACAACCCCGGGAGCCAACCTGTATGATTGGGTGCCCTCGCATTTTAACACCTTGTGTGCACGAAAAAATGACTAAGTGGTCAACATATCCAGGGCAAAATTACAAAGAAGGGAAGGCTGCTTAGGAGGCATGGGGGGCGGGGGGGGTACCGCCACGACACTCTCCATCACAGGCTCGGAATATCCAAAGACAGATGCAAAACGGCATCATTTTCCTCCCCCCTGGAAAACATCACACCCCGGCTGCGCTCAAGGCACGAGGATCTCGGCGGCCCAGGTGGCAAGGCTGTCCTCCCCGGAGAGCGACGCCACGCACACCCAGGAGTGCGGGAGAAAGAACCCCGGAGGACGGGGGACCTCCTCGCCCCCTGACTCAACTCTCAGGTCGGCCCGAGACCCTTCACGGCGGGGACAGGTGCGACCCGCGGCCAGGCGGGAGGAGCAAGAGGAAGCGGGGTCGAGTCGGGCGCCACGCTGTGCTCGGGAGGCAGGAGAGGACC